TATGGCAGAGGCACAACAGGAACAAGAGAGGCAGGCGAACAAGACTTGGAGGGAAGCATAGAGCCTTCGAGTAGGGGACAAAGTTTGGCTAAAACTTGACTAGCAGTACAGTACAGGGCGGAGCTCTAAGAAGCTTGATTAGAAGAACGCCAAGTATACTATGATTAGAGTAGTCGATAGCCATTCGGTTCAGCTGGATACCCCGCCTGGCCCTCACCCAGTATTCCATGTGGACAGGTTGAAACTCGCCAGCAACGACCCACTGCCAAGCCAAGCCCAAGACGACGAGCAGCCGCAGCCACTGCAGGTGGACGGAGAAGACGAATGGGAGGTAGAGGACATTGTAGCAGAAGAGGTACGCCGCCGCGGAAGGGGGCGTAAGCTATACTACGAGGTAAAATGGAGAGGCTTCCACCAAACAACGCTCGAACTAGCAGACCTGCTAGTAGACGCGGAAGCAGTAGACTGATAGGAGGCCTTTACAGAGACAAAACGGGACAGTAAAGGCCGCCTCCTAGAAGGGTTCTAAAGAGACGGTGCGACTCTAGCCAAAGGAGGGGGTATTGTAACGGGCTAAGCGCCCTTTAGATAGCTCCTTGATAGAATCTTGGTGTTGTTGCCTAAGCAACGCTTAGATAACAAACGCTGGGTTGTACCCTTATAACCTGGCATCTACGTGTCGCCCAAGCAGCGCTTAGATAACGCGCACAAGCACTTAGCATAACCTTTCTCTAACAAGTAAATAAACACTGCGCGAGGTAGAGTAGATAGCTCTCTATCAAATACAATCCTTGTATACCCAAGCGTTTGCTCCACGGAGCGCAGCCCCTTACACTCGCTTAGCCTTAACTATTACACGCATAGTAATAGCCTCCTCTTCTAGTTTTGTTAGGCACCTTACTAGTAGCTCCTAATCGCTTTAAGGGCGCTATCTAGCTTATTAACGCTAAATTATTATTTATAGGACGCTATAGGTAGTAGTAGCACGTTATTTACTCTAAATTTATTTAAAATTAAGATTAGTAATAGTAAGAAATAGATCTACTTTAGTATAAGTTTTTAACGCGTTGCGTTATTAAGACATTACGCGTTGTTGTTGCAAAGGTAGGATATTATAGGGAAGTGGCCTACATACTAGGGTGGCCCGCTTACTAGTGAAACACGTTAAACTAGTTAAACACTTAATATATTATAACCTTTTTTATACTAAAGCTATTATAACTTCATTGATAGGCTATAAATAAGTATATTAGTAATTAGCTATTATTTATATTTATCTTTTCTACTATTTTAGCTTTTAAAAGAATAAGATTTAGATACCCTAAAAAATCATTTTTTAATATATATATCTTTATAGAATTTTAATATAATTACTTTCAAAGCTAAGATTTTACTATATAATTAAGAATTATATATAAATTACTTCTATATTTCTAAAAAGCTTATAGCTAAGAAAACAAATCAACTTTTTTTTTCTTTCATTAATAATAAAAAATTTAAGTAATAAATTATAGATAAATAGAAAATAAAATTTATATCATACTATAGTCAATACTATATGAGAAATTGGAGTATTTAGCTTACTAGTTCATTCTTATTAAGTACTTATATTATATAGCTTTTCTTTCTTTATGTTCTTATATATATATCTTTTTATGGCTACTTAGTAAAAATTAAGTCTACTATACTAAACTACTAGCTCTTGTTATTCTAAATCTACGCCTTCCTTATTTTTAGCTATCTAAATAGCTAAGTTATTTAAGTTTTAAAATCTCTATTTTTTTTAAACACTTTTTTTTACTGTCACCCCTCTGTAGTGTAAATAGCATGATGCTGACATCTCGATTCCAGCCTTTGAATAGGCGCAGTCAAATCCCAACCTTCGATCAAACGATCATCCTGCCGGCACAACTATCATTCCCAGATCCTGCCCATGCACCCTACACCACTGCAGTCTGTGAACCGCGTGCCTTGCACGCACGTTGACTGGAAGAACCACCACTCGTAACCACAGCAGCACTCGAAGAAACACTACTACATTCCCCATCCAACTCCGCTGGCCCCGCCCCAACCGCAACCAGCTGCCCAAACCCATCAACATCAGCCATGGTAACGCACCACGCTCGACTAACAGGTACTTCTGATGGCGTTGCTACCGGCCCAGCAGTAGTGGCATACGGATACCCATAGAATGTAGGCGGAGAACTGCATTCGCCGTTTGCAGCGGCAGGCCCGCCGGCAATGGTGATTGGAATGCCGTTTCGATCCATGTCGGCAACTGTGACGCACCAGGTTGCGTTTGCGTTTGCGTTTGTGGGGGTTTGTGTCGAAGCGGATGGAGGGGATGAAAATGGGTGTTCGCTACTTATTGTGGGGGCCAGGGACGGTGGAAAAGGGAGCAAGGTCGTGATTGTTTGTGTGATGATCAGAGATGTCAACAATCAAGCTCATCAAGCCGAGCTAACGCGATATAGTAATGATTAGGCCTAAAAAAGCTAGCCTATTACTGTATCAAGTTAGCTCGGCTTGATGAGCTTGATTGTTGACATCTCTGGTGATGATGATTGTGACGAGGGATGTGTTGCTGGAGAGGCTTGGTGGAGGAGAGGGTGTAGGGCGTGGTGTCACTGTAGTTGTTTCGAATACTGTAGTGTAGCTTGTGCTTGATTTGGCGGTCGAGGTGCTACTCTGTGCTGTTCTGGTATCTGGCTGCGTGTTCGAAGATACTGGTGTAGATGTAGTGTTTGCGATAAAATGCATGTTGAAGCCAGTGGACATGTTAGAGGCCGACAGGATAGGCTGGGGTACAAGGGGCGAGCTTGCTGGGGGAGCTGCTGGAAGATGCCGTTTGGGTGCTCCACAGCCCAAATTGTTGATACGGGGTTTGCGTGAAATGGTATCGATGAGGCTCCAGTCGGCTTTTTGATCCGGCGTAGAATCCTTGAGCAGTTCATACCAGAACGTTGTGTATTTGCCGAAGACGGCGCATCCGGTTTCAGTCCAGAATCTCTGGAGCTCGTCTACTCCGGCAATAGCTTCACCGTGCTGTTCTGTGTCAGCTGACGGCCAGCCCATTTCTGCAATCCAGATCGGTCTGTCGCCGGCGCGCTTCTCGACGTCTTGTAGAGAGCCTAAAAAGCTCGTGCTGGCTGTGTCGATGCTGTCTTTGTGCCAGTATGGGTAAGCGGTCACGCCAATGAAATCGGCTTTATTTACCACAGCGTGCTTGGCAGTATCTACATGGCCGATGGGCTTATTCTTCATGTACTGTGCAAAGGAAGATGTTGCAATGCCTTTCTTTACTTGGCTAATAGCTTGCCCGACAACATCTGCTGTGACGCCCAGCTCGCCAGCTTCCTCGGCGCGATAGACATCCTCACTACCCACAGCGAGTCCAATGATCAGATCAGAAAGTGCTTGGCCGTGCTGTTTGAATCCTTTCTCCAGTGCAGCCATTTCATTCCTGATATTCTCATCGGGCAAGGCGCCCTTTTGTGCCGGCGTGATCCAAAATCCCAGCAACAGGTTAGTCTTGGATTCTACAGCTGCGTCAAATGCTTCGGTTGGTTCGTTGAGTGTCCCAGCGGCTCTACACGTGAATAAACGCGCACTGTCGAACGGTATGTCGGTGGTGAGGTTCTTAGCGAGGTTGAAGCCATCGAGAAAGTCGGCTTTCTTTTTGGCATTCGCTTCTACACTCCAGAAGGCGCCATAGTTGAAGCCTGTGTATATCTTGCTCGTGGCCTGCGCAAAGCTTGGTAGGAGAAGGAGAGGGCTGATTAGCAGGTACTTCATTGGGTTGACTTATTGCTTGGGAAATAGGAAAAGAAGGGGTGGAAGGGTCAATCGAGAGTAGAGAGGGTCAGTCAGCACGCCGTGTATAGTCAACTCGAACATGGTGAATTGCTATACTATTGACAGACATGTTTCCATGCTATTATTGAAGCTATTGTTTGTGACGAGCCATTCACAGGGGTAGACGTGAAACACGTCCTTTGTAGCGATTGAAGTGAATGGAGGGGTTCAATGGAGCCACAATGAAATGAGCTTGGCAGCAGGATTTCTTCATATAGAAAATCTTGTGGTATGCATCTTCAGGAAGTAGACAAAGTTTAAGTGTGACCGCATTGCTGCTGGAAGGATGCTTTATGATGTGGGATTTGTTTCCGGTCATCATTTAGAAGCATCCGAGGCAGTCGAAAGGCGGTGCGCCTAGCGCATGTAAGCATGCCAAGCCACATCATCATCGTACCCCTCATTGGTCGGCTGCCCCAACGGAGAGGCGTCCGACTCCGCGTTCTCCGCCTTCCGAGCTCGCATTGATAAATCGTTGCCGCGACATTCTGAGGACGTGAATAGCCAGCCACAATGTCTCTCGCACGCTTCGGAGGTCCTCTCGCGCGCGCAAGGTGCTCGCCGCAGCCGCAATGGCATGCAGCGTATGTTTTTCCCCAGTAATCATAGCCCCTCCGCCGAGACTGACTGCTCCAGACGTGCCCTCTCCAGCTCCACACTCCGCTCCGCCAAAGCGGACAATGAACTCAATTCGGTCAGCAGGCACATTACCCAGCCCAAGTCGCAGGGCGCCTCGCAGGCCATGCTGTACGCCACGGGTATGAGCGAGGAGGACATGAACAAGGCCCAGGTCGGCATCTCGTCTGTGTGGTACTCGGGCAATCCGTGCAACATGCACCTCATGGACCTGAACAACAAGGTCAAGGAGGGTGTAGAGCGGGCGGGGCTATTGGGCATGCAGTTCAACACCATTGGTGTCAGTGATGGTATATCCATGGGTACAAAAGGCATGCGCTACTCGCTGCAGTCGCGTGAGGTTATTGCAGACTCAATTGAGACTGTCATGGGCGGCCAGTGGTATGACGCCAACATCTCCATCCCCGGCTGCGACAAGAACATGCCTGGTGTCATCATGGCTATGGGACGCGTCAACAGACCTTCGCTCATGGTCTACGGCGGCACCATTCAGCCCGGCTGCGCAAAGACTCTCGAAAACCAACAGATCGACATTGTCTCCGCCTTCCAGGCGTACGGACAGTTCATCACGGGTGAGATTACCGAGGATCAACGTTTCGACATTATCAGGCATGCTTGCAACGGACAGGGTGCATGCGGAGGCATGTACACGGCAAATACAATGGCTACCGCGATTGAAACCATGGGCATGTCGCTCCCTGGCTCTTCTTCGAACCCGGCCAACTCCAAGGCCAAGATGCTCGAGTGTCTAGCCGCCGGTGGCGCCATCAAGAACCTGCTCAAGGAGGATATCCGGCCTAGTGACATTATTACCCGCCAAGCGCTAGAGAACGCCATGGTTGTCATCAGCATTACTGGTGGCTCGACCAATGCTGTTCTTCACTTGATTGCCATTGCCGACTCGGTTTGTCTCAAGCTGACCATTGACGATTTCCAGAGCGTCAGTGACCGCATCCCACTGTTGGCCGATTTGAAGCCTTCTGGCAAGTACGTCATGGCCGATATTCACGACATTGGTGGCACACCATCACTTTTGAAGTTCCTGCTGAGGGAGGGCCTTCTTGACGGAAGCCAGATGACCGTCACTGGTAAGACGCTGAAGGAGAACTTGGAGACAGTCAAGGACTTCCCTGCCGAGCAGAAGATTATCAGGCCGCTCAGCGAGCCTTTGAAGTCGACTGGTCACTTGCAGATCCTGAGAGGATCTCTTGCCCCCGGTGGCTGCGTTGGCAAAATCACCGGTAAGGAGGGCACACAGTTTACCGGAAAGGCAAAGTGCTATGATGCCGAAGACGACTTCATTACCGCTCTTGAGCGCGGTGAAATCAAGAAGGGAGAGAAGACGGTTGTGGTTATCCGATACGAAGGCCCCAAGGGCGGACCTGGTATGCCTGAGATGTTGAAGCCCAGCTCCGCCATCATGGGCGCTGGCCTTGGCAAGGATGTTGCACTCATCACAGATGGTCGCTTCAGCGGTGGCAGCCACGGTTTCTTGATTGGCCACATTGTGCCTGAGGCGCAGGAAGGGGGCCCTATTGGTCTTGTCCAGGACGGCGACGAGATCACTATCAACTCTGAATCGAACGAACTGAATATCGGTGTTAGCGAACAGGAGCTTGCTGAGAGGAGAAAGAAGTGGACCGCACCTCCACTGAAGTACCAAAAGGGTACACTGTTTAAGTACGCGCGCTTTGTCATGGATGCCAGTCAAGGCTGCATCACCGACTCGGAATGATTTTAATGATATCACGCCATGCTAAAATTCAATTTGTAAGTACGTAGGTTTGGCCGTAGTAGGCCAGAAAAGCAGTTTTCCAGGTTCATTTCAGCCGCACTAATTTGTTGTGACGCATGGCACCGAAGGCTTATATTCTCAAAGCCTTGGATGTATCCTTGTCCAGTCCAGCAGTCTTGTCACGACTTTGATATACAATGCTCCGTGATACATATCCACAGCATGATGTGCATACCCCGAATCTGCCCTGGGGGCGCTAGGGCCAAAGAGTCATTCCCCATTCCTCGCAATACGCAAAAAGGCAAAATTAATGGGTTCGAAGCTTGGTATCCACATTCAAGGGAGTTGAAGCGGCATATCAAAAAGGGGAAGCATGGGGTCACGTCATCGGCACCGATGTTTGCAACAGCGCAATCCGCCGATGTTCCTGCTCTAGCCTTTTCAACAGCAGCGTATGAGCTTCAGGAGATTTAGCCCCGGAGATCAGGCGCATGGAAGTGGAGAAGGTGATTTTGCACTAGGCATGCCGCGAGCACCATGTGGATACATACGCATCACTTAAGGTAGGCTGAGAAGGCGATCGACATACCAAGCAAAGACCGCTGAAAAGTGCAGTCAACAAAAGACTGAGAGCTGAAGAGGGCCAGTGCCTGGATCTCACGGGTTGCGCATGTGGCGGAGCGAGTGCCTAGGGCAGAATCAAGAGGGTGGTAATATTCCGCCACTTTCCTATGGGCCGAAATATCCCTTCAACACGAACCGCCGATGTCCTACCGCAGGGGTACGTTGCAGGTTTCATGTTGCCGTGCCGCTCATCCAACAGTCAGTCTTGAGTACCACCTTGCCCATTTGAGCAGCATCGCAATGGTATCCCGACAGTAAATCTTGCATCGTAATGGCTCAGCAGCACTAACAGCGGATATCTAGATCTCCCAAGTGACAAAATATAGCCCCATGACCGATTCCGCGATAGAGACGACGGACTATAGGTGGTCAGTGCGTGCAACAGGACAGCTAATGCAACACCCCTACTATTACTAAAGTCTTAACCTCTATACTTTAACACGTAATAACTCTACTATAATAATTGCTAGTACTACTAGTAACTTAGACATAGAATAGTAAGGTAAGGGCTTAATAGTAGTAGTAGGCAGTATTATATTCTAAGATAAATCCTTACTTTCCTTTTTATATAAGCTTTAAAATTATATACTATAAGCTAGCTAAAAAGCTATTAACTAAGCCTCTTCTTATAGCTACTATTATAGTTTCTTATAGTGTTTTTTTATAAAGTATTACTATTTTAGCTATACTTATATAGTTTTAATATAAGTTAAAAAAGTTTATTAACTTTGAATTAAAGTTATTTAAAATAGATGATATATTACTTGTTAGGACTGATAATAACTTGAATATAGAATAAAAAAGTAAACGCTTAATAGTAGTAGTAGGTAGTATTATATTTTAACAGAAATCCTTAACCTCTTTTTTATATAACGTGGTTCATAAGCGAGTTAGTCACCTAAGCGAGTTAGTCACTCCCTACTAGCGCGTTAACGTTAACACGTGATTATAGTCTTTTATTATAGCCAATAAACTATTATAATATACTAAATTAATTATAAGAATTGCTACTATTACTTACACTATCTATCTTAACTACGTAGGTATAAGCGTTATGTCTAGTTTGCTTACAACGCCTGCACTACTACTCTCCTTACACCCTCTTTAACGCACTCTTACTATTACTATAACTACTACCTACTTATTTAGCTAATACTTCTTATACTTTACTTATAGTAAGAGTCTCTTTTATCTATATGTATTGCTGCTTATAGCTCTTACGCTTATTTGCTATATCTAGAGCCTCTTAAAGAGTAGCTACTTCCTCTCTTATAAGCGTTATCTTATATGCTATTTACTAAGCCCCTTTACTTAGCTATATAACTTTCTTATTAAAAGAATTTATAAAAGACTTAAGGCGGTTTTTTACTCTCTATTAAATAAGAGTACTTTAAGCCTTAACCTTACGCGCGTTGCGTAGTGTCTACGCCTGCTAGGCAGCTATCTATTGTAGTGATTTGTCAGACTGTGAGGGGTTTCTGATCAAGGACTGTTTTTGGGTCACTGTGATAAAAGACTGTGATAAACTTAAGTATAGAAACTGAGTGTATTGAGTTGTTGTGTGTTCTGTCGTCTGTAGGGGCGCGAGGGCGCGCCCCTTATAAGAGCTATCGCTATTGCTTTTTGTATTAGGTAGGCCGCTAAGTATCAGCCTCGCCTAGGGTTAGGTCTTGGCGATCAGCCCTGACTGGTTGGGATCACAGAATCCTGGTGCTCGAGTCCGCACCCGGATTCTGCCACTTATCTGACATGATTATACAGGTGTCGACACTACTACATTAAGCTTAGATAACATAGCCTATAGGTTGTGTAAGACTAGACTAGCGCCTCTAAAGCTAGCTTAGATATTCTCCTTCGTGATAGACTGCTTAAAAGTAGTCTTAAAGGCTAGTAGGAAGGTCTCTTTGCTAATATAGTAGGTGCGGTTGCGTGCTAAGCCTAAAAGAGCATTACTATACTTGCGCTTTAACAGCGAGAAGCAGGCGACGTTAAAGGGCTATATTAGGTAAGACAAGTGCGCAGGCATATAGAGAAGCACAATATTCTTCTCCTTATAAACATCTTAGAAATCAATAAAGTAGTAGCTTTTATAGCTATTAATAATAAGTAGTTGATACCTACTTATAGTAGAGCTCTTTGTATAGGTATTAAAGTGCTCTAACTAGGCAAGACTAAGCTAATTATTTGTTTAGCTATAAGAACTAACTTTAAGAACCTGGTTAGTAGGCAAATTCTTAAACTAGACGTTAATAAGCACCTTACTTGCAAAGATAATAAAGGGTGGTATTTAGCAACCTAACGCGCCTACGCCCTAGATCATAGTAACCTACTTATAGTTACTTAGCTATATCTACTTCTTTTTTCTATATCCTTTTAATGCTATAATTAATAACTATAATAAAATCTTACTTATTATAAAGCTAGTTTTATTAAAGTTATAGATATTGTTGTCTATAATACTGTAACGGGTCGAGTCCTATTAGACTGCGCACGCAACTACAACGCGCCCACCGCGCCAAAAAGGCTGGCACAAGATATCAGAGCTGCTGATATCGTTGAGTAGTTGATACATAAGATAGCCACCGCTATCTGTACTGTAGCGGGCTACCTAGCCCGTTACAAATACCCTACTTCTACCTTATTACTTAAACTAAGTTGAACTAGCGCTAGATAGCTACTAAGTCCTTATAGGCGGCTTACTAGTAATTATAGAAACAGCTCTAGCGCGTATAGAGCTGAGTAGTCTACCTAATAAAGTTTTTAACCTAATTCTTGCTAATAGGGTTGCTACTACGCTTTTCTAATAGTTTATTAGCTATTACTTAAACCTTAGCCTTTATAAGGGCAAATCCACGCGTAGACTTTTTAAAAATACGTCTAATAATATCCTCCTCTTCTAACTTATTTAGGCGCTTTAAATTTAGTTTATAGTTGCGTTAAGGGCGCTTTTAAGCCTATTACTTATTGTTCCATTAGAGTCTAGTGAGCTCGAGGCTATGTAAGACTTTGGCCGAGGCCGTTCTAACTAGATTTATTACAAATACGAGTTTGTGCTTGAAGTGTGTCTGTGGTGCTTCGGCCTTTGCTAGGTAAGCGATAGCTATCGCTTACTAGACGCCTAGTGCTAAAGAGCTATTTTGATAACAGAAAGTAGATGTTAA